GAGACAGGTGAGAGGTTTCAGGGCTCAAAAGCTGCTTAGACACCTGCTGCAGTTTGATGTCCCCATGGAAACTCACGTGGAGATTTAATCCTGCTGGGAGGTGTTGAGGGCCAGGGCCTCTGAGAAGCAGTTCAGTCCTGCAGGCTCTGCCGTGAGCACATGCGTGGGTTCCTGGTTCACGAGCAGGTCTGTCGTGAAGACCATCTGCCTCTGGCTCTTGCTGTGGGAAGCCCCGTGCCTCTGGGCCTCCGTAGAGGCTGCACCAGCTGGAAGGCCTCCCCCGGATGTGGCCTTCAGCCTCGAATTCCCAACCTCCAGGATGGCGAGCTGAATACACTTCTGACTTTCCCAAAAGACCTGCTCTGCAGTGTTCAGCTCCAGATAACACACACAGGGACTCACCTGGGCTGTGCCACACCTGCAAAGGGGGACCAGTGACTGACACCTGGCAGAGCTGTTCTGTGAGGAGATAACATGAGTGATGTGCCCAGTGCAAAGCCAGATGACTCATGACAACCATGATTCAAAAAGACCACTGCACTCAACCCCAAGACTTAGTGTGTGGAGGCGCACACCTAAGGTCACAGCACCACTGACCTTGGGGCCTTCCAGGGCAGATCCATAAAACAGACTTGTGGGAGTCATTGTCATGGGCTGTAGGCCTTCAGCCAGATTCATGGGAGGTTTGGTCTTGGGCTCTAGGTCTTCAGCCAGACTCACACAGGACATTGCTGTGAGATCCAGGCCCTCAGCTGGATTTTTCTAGGTCTTTAGTGCTGTGGACAGATTTCCTGCACTTTCTTGTATTTAACTCTCATGACCATCATAAAATAATATGATAAATTCTGTGTCTTCTATGTAATTGTTCTCCTTGCACCAATTGGTCCTCCTGACTACAACAGACAGCAGGAACTTTCATTCATTGCTGTTAAGGATGCAAAATGATGCGGTCCCTGGAAGACAGCTGAGCAGCTTCTTGCAAAACTAAACGCGCCCTTGCCGTAGGACCCATCCATGCTGCTCTTTGGTGTTTGTCTAACGGAGCTGAGAACAGATCACCACAGCTACTCACTGCTGGATGTCTGTAGTAGCTTTGTTGATAATTGGCAAATGTTGGAACCCACCCAGTTTAATGGCTCCTGGCGGGAAAACATGTCAGGATCAGGCAGTAAAGTAAAGCCACTCACTTAATGGTGGCAATGGAAAAACAGGAATAAGGAGATGGTTAGGCTGGCATTTCCCCTCATAACACATCACTAGGAAATTGTCCAAATCTAAAAAAAAAAAAACTCAGCGCCCCATGAAGCCTGAGGTAAACCATGATTCTGGATGGAGCGATGCACTTGTGTAAGTTCATCAGCTATAACAAATCTACCGCTTGGTGTGGGATTTTGATGTGGCCAGAGAATGCATAGGACATCACTGCCCTTTCAAGTTTGCTGGGAACCTAAAACTTCTCTGAAAACTAAAATCTTTTTTTTTTTTTTTTTTTTTTAATTTTTTTTTTACAGTTTTTTTTAATTTTATTTAAGGAGAAAAGAAAAGAAAGAAAAAAAAACAATGAAGGGGTACAAGTTATACAGATTTACAGAAGAAAAAAATGCGCAGTAGGAAATCACTAGTTAATGGATTACATATTGCCATCTTAGAAATAATTGTTCAAGTCACAAAATTAAAGCTTGTAGAGTGGACATTCCAACAATGATACTGCAAACAGTTCTGTTCAATGATCCAATAAAACTCTGTGATATCATTTTCTATCTTATACATTTAAATATACATGCAGTTATATAGTTTAGAGCACTTTCTTTTCCTCTCTTTTGTACAATGACTATTACACATTTTGGGTTTCATTGCTCCCACGGTTCTTATTGCTTTTTTGGAAGAGAGTAAAACCAAATGTGACATAACAGAACAGAATCGGTCAAGTCAAAAGGGTGGACATAATAGATAATATAAAAACATAATACAAGGTGATCAACAATGGTTACCATAATGCCTCCCGCTATTTCTAATAGAATTGCCTATATCATTAGTTGTTATACAATTGAACAAAACCGTAAAGAATAAAACCGACAAAACCAAAACATTGGAGATATTGTAGGTCTTCAAAAGTAGATAAAAGTCAACGAGAATGGGCGTTAAATGAATCTCATTATCTTCTCAGCTGATGCCTAAACTTTCGAACCTGATACTGGTTAGTACTTGGATGGGAAAACTAAAATCTTAACAAGCCGCGCGTGGTGGCACATGCCTGGTCTCCTGGCACTCGGGAGGCAGAGGCGGAAAGATTGCTGTGAGTTTGAGGCCAGCCTGAGTATAGGGAGTTCAAGGCCTGCTTGGGCTACACAGTGAGACCCTGTCTCAAAAAAAAAAAAAAAAAAATCATGAGGGCGTCTCAACAGCTTTGGTGATGAAAATGTAGCAGCCACGCAGCCCTGCCCCGTGAAGCCTCTGCAACACTACAGCCAGGCCACCCCCTGCCCTAGCAAAATCACCCCAAGATTCAAGGGAAGGACAAAAGATGCAGGGCGTGAAGGAGCCCAAGAGGTGACAGGGAAAGTTGTCGGACACACTGGTTCCTGCAAAAGGCACCAGAAAAGACAAATCTTCAGCTGCAAAAACAAAATGGGGAGCAGGGGGACAAGAAATAAAACACAAGCAAAGCCAAAAAATGACCAACCAAGGAGTTGAAGAAAACGCATCTATTTAAAAGAGAGAAAGAGGAAATAAACGCTCGGGGAGCCCCGCTGTGGTGTGGGAGGAAAGCGAGTCTGACCAGCAGCCTCACAAAGTCACGGCGTCCTGAGCCCCCCTTCACACAAAAGCCAAGGAAATCATTTCCCAGCTCTTTGGTACACGCAAGTAATTGTAAATCCAGAGTTCTAGAAACACGTTTTTAAGAAAGAGCAAATTCCATATCATCCCTTAAATAAAAATAAAATGTGTATTTCAGTGGAATCACTCATTTTTAGGAAGAAGTCAAGCCGAGTACTGGGTATGTTTCTGAACAGCCAGAACAGCCAGGGGGTGCTGAAGTGCGGGAGGAGGTGCTGAGCGTTGGGGTGCCGGTATCCCATGAGTGAGTGAGTCCGGGCTGGGAATATAGCTCAGTGGTGAAAGCACCTACCTGGCAAGTGCAAGTCCTGAGTTCAATTCCTGGTACCAAAAAAAATAGTGAGAAGAGATAAAAGAAATGATAATGTAGAATCATGATCATCGAAAATGTTATAAACATGTTAAGTCTCGAGGCTTCTCCCCCTATGGTATTAGTTTATAGAATTGTGTCTTACAGGACACCATACCTTTACTTTGGCTCCCTGGCAGACTTGGATGTGCACTGTGACATCTTTGGTCCTGTGATCCAGGACCTCCTACCCTTACAGGATGCGGGAATGGGGAAGACTCATTAAAAGATCTCATAAATTATGAGTTCTTCTATACACAGAAATGAAACACACTCCCCTTTATGTATAAGAAAGGGAGTGCATAAGAAAGATTTTTTAAAATTGGTCTATGGTATAAATTAGTGAATAGGGCTTAAATTAGAAGAAATTAAAGCCTGGAGTACGATAGAGACCAACTGTCTCTATCATAGACTACCAGCTTAGAATTAAAGAGTCATTAGAGGAGACCATTGTATTTGTGTTGGTAACAAATAAATAATTCTTGTCCGCTAACTGTGTGTGTTAAGGGTCTCCTTCTATTGCCTGCTTTTTCCTGTGTATGGAATAAATATCCTCATGTCTTCAAACATCTTGAGATTGCTTTATTGTGTACTGGAAATTGTTAATGACATTTACAGAAATTCTGTGTGCCATTGTATTTCTTAAAAGGATGTTGATATTTTTCTAGCAGAAGGTGAACTCACATGGATTCAAATACGGTCCACCTCTACCCCACAGAGGGAGCAGCTGAAATTCACATCGAGCCATGGAGCTCCCGGGAGCTTCCAGTGTGGTATTTAGGGTGGGACCCCAGGGACTGCTCTGTCTGCCTAATTCAAAACTCCTCTGGCTGCCACCAATTACTGGAAAGAATTTACATACAGGGGCTGGGGATTTAGCTCAGCAGCACAAGCACCTGCCCTGCAAGCAGGCAGTTGTGAGTTCGATCCCCAGTATCGATAAAAAGGAAAAAGACAAAAAAAAAAAAAAAAGAATTTACATACATATCTTGATTTGCCTCTTTGTGCCTGCCTTTCTTTCAGAATTTCTCCTCTAAGTTTCTATCTTCTCTGCCAAGCCCCTAGATACATTCTTCAGTGCCACAGATGAAATGGAGTTTTCTGTCTGCCTGGCCTATGCGTAGACTGAGAAGTGCTTTGAAGAAAAAATTTCAAACCTGCGTGTATCACCTGTCATAAATGTCATCATTCCATGATGGTCTCTCTCCCACTTCTGCTTAGTTTTTGAAATATATAAATACATATGACGTAAATATATACACAGTAGATATGTGCATGTGGACACATATTTTGTAAAGATTTCATCATTTTTATCTGTTTGTTTAATAAGCTATTTCACCTGTTTGGTACACTTTTGGATTTATATAAAGTGGCTTCCTCTGCAGGAAGCAAATATCTCCAGGACTGCAGGCCCTTTGGTGGCAGAAGACTCCCAGCTGCGCAGTTTCCAATGAGCAAGGTGCCCCTCAGGAGGACGGCTCCTGAGCTGTGCCTAGTCCTGAAGGACTCTGTTCTCAGTGTGTCCCATGATCCCTTGAAGACCAGCAGGGATGAGATAGGAGGCATCGGCACACCATGAACTCACTGTGGTCTGTCGTGGCTCCAGCCATCAAACGACCCGGATGAAGGCTGCAGGTGCGTGGATGTCAGAGATGGGACGGGCCACTGGGTGCAGTGGTCATGGGGGGGGGGGTCTGGGAACAGATTTCAGCCAGAAGGGGGTGTCCCGGCCCTTGGATGAGTCAATGTAGATGCTAGAGGGGGGTGGGGATGAGAAGGGACAAGAGACACAAAGAATGGAGACAAGACAGGATTCTGATCACGTCTCGTTTATTCAAAGAAAGAGTAACAAATATATAGGGTATTGGGGGAGGAGGGAGTTGGGTTCTGAGACATCAGCAGGTAACTTAGCAACAGTGGCAAGGCTGAGGGTTATAGGTTCATTCTAATTTTCAGTTTCCCGCCAATCCTTGAATGGGCCAAACAGGCTAGGCAAGGAGCTGCTTAACCTTCACACTGAACTCCTAGAAGGGGTTAAGGTGATGCTGCCTGCAGATAGAATAAGGTGGCAGCCACTTACAGGGTTTCCCACAAGCGGGGACTCCAAAATCCCAAGCTGTTCACCGTCTAGGACGCAGCCAAGAGGCTGATTCTAGGTCCTGGTACTAAGACAAACAGAATCCCAGGCTGCCTTGGTCTCACTTGTGCTGGAGACATGGGGGACAGCCCTGCCACTCTGCTGGACCTCACCCCTAGCCTCTGTGCCCTGATTCTCAGTGACTGTCCTGCAGGGGGCTGACGGGAGGCGGGAGATGAAGGAGTCTGTTCAAATGAATGTTTCCTAGCACTTAGAGGGCAGAAAAGAATATGGAGAATCTTCCAAATCTATTACCCCACAATTCAAGGAAGGTGACCTTTGAGTGGGGTGTGTACTGAAATCTGGCATAAGTGGATTAGCAGTAACGGAAATAAAAGGTGCAAATGTTGAGCTACTCTCAGATCAAGGAAGATCAGTATTTTTAGGCGGTGCTAAAGAACACAAATGTCAAGGGCTCTGTACAACTTGAGGACGGCACCATGCCAGGCCTAAAGGAAGTAAAATTCCCCCAAGGACTACTGAAAGTTGGCACTACAGACAGGCGATAGGCACGGTGCTTCAGGGAAGTCCAGGACAGCCTGGGGTCCAGCGAAACCCCCAGCATGGGGATGGACACCAGGTAAGCATTAATGAGGACAGAGATGCTGTCTTCCCTGGATTTTCCCTTCGCAGTGAAAATTGGATGAGGTCCGGTCATTTCAGGATGTTATGGATTAGAAACTGGTGGTCAGCTTAACACCAGCTGAATTAAATCAGAATGGCACTGGGCATAGATGCTCCACCTGGGGAAAGTTGCCAGCACAAACAGAGATGTGGAGAAGGAGAGGCTAAGCATTGTGGGTTTCTCTAAACGTTGCTGTGTGAGCTGTTGGTTCTGGAGGAGCTCGTCATGCCTACCTTCGCCAGTGTGAGTTTGACCATTGTCATCAGAGAAGCTCGGATCTTGTTGGTGAGGGTGGCTATGCTTCACTTTTCGGGGAGCTCTGGTCCTTACATCAAGTATTGCTTCCCGGCTCCAGAGGGAAAGACGTGTGCTGCTTACTCTCCAGGATGAACGCCTCACACTGGCTTCCTGACATACACTTGACTGTGCTTATCATCGGAGGAGCTCGGGGCCTCCGTGTTACTGAGGATGGCTGTGGTGCTTTTCAGGACAGCCCTGGTCTGTTTTGAGTGTGACTTCTCGGCTCCAGTGTCCAGTTCATAGACTTTCTAGCTTCCACTACTGACCTTTGGGTCCCAGCACGGATCCATAAAACAGACTGGTGTGAGTCCTTCTCGAGGGCTCTAGACCTCCAGTTGGACTCCTGGGAGGCATTATCATGGGCTCTAGGTTTCCATCTGGACTCATGCAGGACATTGCTGTGGGATTCAGGCCTTTGGCTGAATATTCCGGGTCTTTGGTGTTGTGGACAGTTTTCCTGCACTTTCTTGTGTTAAACTCTGTGTGACCATCATAAAATAATGATGTAATTTCTGTGTCCTGATTCTAATTATTCTCCTTAGAACCCCTGACTACACCACAGGATAAAGATAAGAAAAGGGACAAAGAAGGAAAGGTAGCCTCAGAGACAGGCACGCGCAGTTGCACAGTTGTACACTGCAAAACCGTCAGGGAACCTTTGTGTCACCTTCATCCTGCCCCTTTCCACCTTCCCTTCATCAGCCAACTGTCCAGGTGTCTTATCACACAGAGAAATAAATGTGGAACAATACTGGTGGCAGCATTAGTGGCAGTACCTTTAAAATAAAGAGAAAATAAATATTAAGTTCTTTTCTTCTTGAGGGGCCTGGTTAACGCAGCATCTATTAGGGACCATTTCCTTAGAATTTGGTAATCGAGACATCATCCCAGGACAAAGGAGCAGGGCCATAGCGGCATCTGCCAGCTGCGGGGATGCGTGGCCCGCACGCTTCACAATGACATGATTATGACTGCACATCTATTCAGCACTTCATGTGCGTAATTCCCCTAATGCCAGGTTGGGCTACAGAAGTGCTTAGCTGCACAAATTCTTCGAATTCACAGAAGAGTGGAGTCAGCCTCAGGAGGTTGGTATGTAAATGAATGTAAAGGGTATGCAAATGAGCGTCTAATTCCAAATGCTGTCTTGTTTTACAGGGTCTCACTGTGTCACCCAGGCTGGCCTTGAGCTCCTGACCCTTCCAGCTTTAGCCTGCACAGAAGCGTGACCCCAGGCAGAGGCCACCAGGGTAGCTCAAATGTTGCCTCTTGGGGAAAAAAAATCCACAATACAACCACGCTGTGCTCCACACACTTGCACTAGTACGCACTACGAATCATGACTGAGCCTACGCTTCAGTGGTCGCTTGGGGTCCCCAGGTGGACACCAGGCTCCAGGCCTGAGCTCTAAAGGGAGGGAAGAAAGGGGGGCAGAGGCTGCTGTCCCCGGGAACTGGAAGCTTCCATGAATGGCTAAAAAGGGAAACAAAGGCGTGCTGGGCCCTCCCAGCCTCTGTGCCTGCTGGTGCTGGACAGGGTGGCAGCGACACCCGTGCTGTGCACATGTTGGGGGGCCATGGGGCACATGTGGTGAGGCCCCGTCTGCAGAGTTCCACAGCGGCCGTGACAGGCCAGTAATGTTCGCTCCTGAAGGAAAGCACAGGTCCTCTGTCCCCAGACCTGCACGCTCACAGGATCCAGGGCAGGAGACGCGCCCTCGCTGCCAAGGCCATGCTCGAGCCCCAATAGTCATGCTTTGGAGCAGAGGGCGGGCGGAGCGGCTCTGCACGGACGGTGAGGAGGACTGAAAGATGCTGCCCCAAATGGTCTGGGACTCTGTCCTGCAGGGTCTGTAGGGTTACGCTAGGATGAGTGAGCCAGGGGGAATCGTCATGGGGGAGAGTGGGTGCGCGGATTCCAAGCTGTCATCGTCCATGGCCAGACGGACCTCCCAGGCACCTCCTGTGGCTGCGCCCACCACACTCAGCAGCAGGGAGGCCCTCGACCCGGCGCCTTACTGACAAGGCAGGAGTATTTTCCACCGCTGCTAGTCCATCAAACCCCCAAATTCAAAGGCCAAATCCAAAAATGGGCATATGAGGTGAACATGCACTTCACAGGTGAAGAAATACAAATGGCAAATAAATACATGAAGAAATGCTCACCATCACTGGTCATTCCAGAATTAAAACAACATTGAGATTCCATATCACTCCAGAAAGATTAGCTGCCATCAAGAAACCAGCCCATAACAAATGCTGACAAGGCAGTAGGACCCTTCTCCACTGTTGGTGGGAGTGTAGACTGATGCAGCCACTGTGGAAATCAGTGTAGTGAGTTCTCCAAAAACTAGGATCGGAGGTCCCATTCAACCCAACTATTCCCCTTCTGGGTATCTTCCCAGAAGAATTAAAAACATCATACTACAGCAATATATGTGCACCCATGTTTATAGCAGCACAATTTGTCACAGCTAAATCTTGGAAACAATCCAAATGCCCATCAACCATGGAATGGATAAAAAAGATGTGGTGTTTTTATACAGTGGAGTATAAATCAGCCATAAAGAAGGATAAACTTGAGGCTGTTATAGGTAAACAGATGCAACTAGACACCATATTCGTAAGTGAAATAACTCAGGTTGACATATGTAAATATCATATTGTCTCCCTAATGTAAAAAAAAGTTGATGAGTAATAAGATCCAAAATATATAATAGATATCATGAAAATGTAAGGGAAAGAAATTGTTCAAAAGAAAGGAACAACTGGGATAGGGGAAAGGAAAAAAGAGAGAAGGGAAAAGATTACACGTATATAGGTGTACATATACATGTGTGTACATATGCATATACAACATCAATAACTACACTACCAATCTGTTAGTACATCAAAAAGAAGTTTGTGCTCACATTGTATGATCATTTTTTCATGCCCAAATCTGAACAACAGGTTCTAAGACAACAATATGCAGTATGTTAACTAGTGTTAATTTCCTATTTTTTAAAATTTCTGTATCACTTCTATCTTTTGTTTTTAAAATAAAAAATATGGTTTCATATTCATTCATTTTAAAAGCTTTTTTATGTTCTTATTAAACTTCAATACTTTTTACTATTATTCTTGACATTTTACTATTAGTGATATTTTCTTACTAATTTATCTATCATATGCACTGCATATGCTGCAAGTATTGATCATTTGCATCCACTCACCATGGGAGGAAATGAATAACATGGCGCTCAGGTGAGCCCCCTGGCTGTGCTCTCGAGCTGGAAGTAGATTGCTCCCGGGGCTCTGGCCCGCAGTGCACCAGCAGCTCCTCCCCACTGGACAGAGGAAGAGGAAAGAGATTCGGAGTGTCCACCAGAGCTGCCGGGTTACACAGCGATGAGGAGTCCAACGGGAGCCTCCAGGCTATGGACCTGTGTAGTAACCAACCACGATTAAACATTCCTTTTTAACTAAAAAAGACTAACCAAAATGCGAAGGGGACGTTTTCAACAGTGAAAGCCATTTCTGGTACACGCTCAATTTTCTCCAGATCTGCACCTATGAGGTCCACAGGAGATGGAAGCAAGCACGTTTGCCAGTGCTGGCTAACAAACTCCTTCTGGTGGCATGGTGGCACGTTGATCTCTTTACAAGACAGTCTCTGCACACGACAGTCTCAGGAGGCAGAATGGGGACAGAGCTGGGCACCATCTGACTGCCACACTGCACGGGAACCTCGGGGCTTCAGAAAGGCTGCTGTGGCCCAGGCCGGCAGCCCAGGCAAGGCCAAGTCCGCTCTTCATTTCAGTGCAGTTAAGCGGCCTGATGTTTTCAGACACCAGCGTCACAGTGCATTGTGTGTCTGTGGCAGGGACCCTTGTACCCACTCCTCACACAAGTGGCTGAACTGAAACGTAAAATACAACAAAAATGAGAACAGAGCAGAAACGGAAGGAAGGGGCAAGCCATCTGGGACCCTCCAGTCTCAGCAGTACCTCTATCCCTAGTCCTTCTCCCCAGTAAATTTTCCTATGCTTAATAAAAGAAAAGGGGGAAGAGGAAGAGGAAGAGGAGGAGGAGGAGAAGGAGAAGAAGGAGCAGAAAACGCCTGCAAGAAGCAGAACAAGAACCGAGAAAGGGAAGGAATAATAGCCAGGCGGTGAAAAGATTCACCTTTTCTTCAGAGTGGAAGAAAACTGTGGCAAACACTTTTGCAGAAAACCACCCCCATCTCGTTCCTGAAATGATTCCCAAAAAAGAGCAGTGACTGGCAGGGAAGGGAGGCGAAAGGTGAAATCAGTTACAAAGTAGTTGAGAAAGAAAAAATTAAATCCCAGAAGTAAACTGCCAAGCAGTTTCAGGCGGTGACACATGCACGCCTCACCCAGCTCCTCTGGTTAATGTCACAGCCGAGCAGGAGGCGCTGTCACTGGGAACTGTGTGGGCTCCGGGAAGCCCCGGAGACGCCAGCTTCCTGCCCTCTCGGCTCCCACCCTGCAGTGACCAGTCCTCCCCAGAGCAAAGGTCGGTCACCTGCTCTGTCCCCTCAGATGGTCGCTAGGAAACCCTGGAAAGACTCTGAATGTCTTTCTGTCCTAGAAGTTTGTATTCAACAGAAATCAGAGACGATAGTTTCTAAAACTGAAAAGCACTGCTCCATCATGGGACCAAGGCAAGCAGCGGGCTCCTCTGCTGCTCTCCGATCACGGGGCAGGATCTGCCCACCTGCTGGGCCCAGGCTAGCTCCGGCAAGTGACATCAGGCGAGTCCGACATGACACAAGACAGGGTGCACACAGCACCGCCCCCAGACCCTCACTTTAACTGGCCCTGTGGGGCTTTGCAGTACACTCGGAGCAGGAGACAAAACCTCTCGAGAGGGAAACCTGTACCTGTCAGAGGAAAACCCAGCATTTTCATGTCTTTAATAAATGGATTGTGTGTCCTCGTCTAGTCTCATGGCTGTACCATCAGTACTTCCCAAATGCTCTTCATTTCCCACTTGCTGATTTTTAAAACTCCAGAAACAGAAACCCTTGAAGTGCATTGTTTGTTTTTAAACTGATAAAAGTAGTAACACACCCAGGTCTTCCAGGGAAACCTCTCAAACAGAAAAAGCCTCGGTCATTGGGGGATTACGGAACCAGGTCCTGTGAAATGATGTAACCCAAAACCCAGGTCTGGATTGCTGCTAAGGTGTTTCATTACATGCGTGAGAGTTTGGGAATCACTCTCATCAGCATCCCTGAGGCATCTCCAGAACTTTCTCTTTGGACACAAATTTTTCTCTTCAAAAATAACAAATAAACCAAACCAAACAGCAGACAGAGGAAAATGCACCCTTGCTATATTATGGTTTGGGTCACAAATGTCCCCAACAGCCAATGTGTTAAAGGCTGGGCACCAGACTCTAGTGCTACTGGGACACTGTCAGACACTGTGGACACTGTCAGACTAGTGGACACTGTCAGAGATGGGGTCCAGTTGGAGGAAGTGAGGTCATACCCTAGACAGGATTTGGTGACCTGGAGCCATGCCCCGGAAGGGATTCAGTGACCTGGAACCATGTCCCAGAGGGGTTTGGGCACCTAGCTCCTCCCACTCTTTGCCTCCATTCACAGTGAGGTAAACAGACCACTCTGCCATATGCTGTCCCCATGATGTATGTACTTTGTCACCACAAGACACAAAGTAACAGTGTCAAAGACCATGAGTTGGAATCTCTGGAACCCAGAACCAGAACCAACTTGCCACATGACATGGCAATGCAGAGGCCAGAAATGCAGGCGCAAGACCAAAGTAAAGTGTGGAGAAGAAAGTTTCATGAGAACCCACAAAGCAGATTGCGAGGCAAAGGGAGGTCTGTGAGCAGGGGAGGCAGCGCTCCTTGAAAGGGAGAACTGTGGGCTGCAAGAGGGAACGGCCCCCTGGGGACCCAGCTGGGGAGAACCAGGCCTCCTTTATGGGACCTCAAGCTGGTGGAGCAATAGATCAAACACGTGGGAAAGAGACAAGAGAAGGGAGTAGGGCTGGATGGTCTGTCTTCTCTAGAGTCTGTAGAGGTGACTTCCTTCCTATGAGGTCCAGCATCAGGGGCAGGTGGCAGCATCATAGTCGTGCTTGTTAATAAGGAAAGGGCGTTAGGGGCTTTTAGCTCTGAGTTTCTGAAACAGCTCATTTGGAAGCAGAGTACATGAGTCTGATGAAGGGCCAAATGGAGGCCCAAATGACCTCTCCCTGGTTAGCTAGTGCTCCACAAAACCTTTTTTCCTTTGAACTTGTTTTTCTCCAATACTCTGTCATATGTGGTTAGGCAGTAAAAGAGAACTGGTCCCCATAGGTCACATCTCCAGCAGCCCCTCTGTGTGAGGCTTTCACAACATGTGTCCACCCAACAAGAGCTCAGGGGCATCACCTTCTGTGCACCATCAAAGCACAACACAAAACAAACTCAAAGGAAGGAGAAATTCTTTGCATTAAAGATTTAGTTCTTCGTGGAAAGTGTGCTAAGCCTCTGATTATAAACTCAAACAATAGAAAAACAAGCCTGCTTTTGTTTCCTCATAAAAACCCTGTCCTTTGATAAGAACGTGGTTTGTGCTTGCTGTCTCAGCCCCAGGGATAAGCACTGTTCCATGCGGATGTAACAATTCTCCTGTGTAGAGGGGGATGTGAGGTCTGCGGTCAGCTGGCTCACTGACAAGGCACAGATATCATGGAGGGTGGTTGTGAGGACCTCATGACAGCCAGAAAGCAGAGAGGATGAGACAGCTTAAGAGGCCAGATCCAGAGACAGGATACAGTCCACAAAGTCACGCCCTGTGGTCCACTCCCTTCAACCACACCCCACCTTCTAAATTTGCATCATCTCCAACAATGACATCAAATTATAAACCTACGAAGTGTGACTCCACTGATGATATTAGAGTCCTCATGATCCAGTCGCCTTCTGTTGTAGTCAGGGGTTGTACACAGAGAACAATTAGGATCAGGACATGGAGTTTATAATATTTTTATAATCGTCACCGGGAGTTAACCCGTGAAAATGCAGGAAATCTATCCACAACACCAAAGACACAGAATATTTAGTCAGGGGCCTAACTCCCACAGCAATGTCCCACGAGTCCAGATGAAAACCCAGAACTCATGACACTGTCTCCCACGAGTCCACCTGGAGGTCCAGAGCCCACAAGAAGGACTCACGCCAGTCTCTTTTACGGATACACTCCAGGAAGGCCCAAAGGTTAGCAGTGGAAGCCAGAAAGTCTGTGCCAGCATGGTGAAGGAGCTGTGCTGGTGGGATGAGGGTTCTATGCTGGAGCCTAGAAGTCACATTCACAACAAAGACCAGGGCTGTCCTGAAAGGCACCACAGCCATTTTCAGTGACACAGAGGCTCTGAGATCCTTCGACAATGAGCACAGTTGAGTACATGCCTTGGAAGCCAGCGTGACGAGTTCATTCTGGAGACTAAGTGGCACACATCTTTCCCTCCTGAGCCAGGAAGCAATGCTCAATATGAGGACCAAAGCTTCTCCAAGAGAACCAATGGCTCAAACAGCAACACATAGGAGAACCCACAATGCCTCAATGCAACAACACCTAACGCCTTAACGCCCTCCTTCTCCTTCTCCACCTATTTATGCTGGCAACTTTCCTCAGGTGGAGCGTCTTCACTCAGAGCATGCTGATGTAATCCAGCTGGTGTTAAATTGACCACCAGTTCTTAATCCATAACACCTTCTGATGCTATGGCAGGCAGAAATACCAACCCCACACCCAAGACTTGGAGGCAGATTTGTTTACATCGATGGACAGTGATCAAGATCATTGCCAAAATATCAGGCCCTGATCTCTGGCGGTCTGTGGCTTATTTGAGATCAGCAAGCAGGAAGTAGAGGCAGAATGGTTATCAATTGGAGATTGGTTCTCACAATATGCATTACAATGACCACTTATGCATCACAGTGACCAGCAGATTCTAAGGGACAACAGTAACAGGAACTGTAACCGCAGCTGTAGCCACGACCACAGTTTGTTACCTGGGCAAGTAACACACAGGTGTACAGACTGGGGGCACCTTCTGTACCCTGAAGCCCCCATCATAGGAGTCTTTTGAGAGAAATTTTGCAATCAAACTATAACACCATATATGCCTGGGTTTATTTCTGGACTCTCTATTCTGCTCCAGTTATCTATGCGTCTATTTTTATGCCAGTCCATGTTGTTTTGATTTTGATGGATTTATAATAAATTTGGGGATCAGGAAGTGTCATGGTTCCAGCTTTGTTCTTTGCATTCAGCATTGCCTTGGTTTCTTGAGCTTTTTTGTTATTTACATGAATGTTACAGTGGTCTCTTCCGTTCCTGTAAAAAATGTCATTGTAATGTTGACAGGGATGGCATTGAGTCTATAGATCATTTTGGATAGTATGGACATTCTAACAGTACTAATTCTTATCCATGAACATAGGATATCTTTTCATTTTAATTTCTTTCATAGCTTTCTGTGTATATCTTCTTTGGATAAAATTCATTCTAAGGATTTTAACTTTTATGTTATTGTAAGTAGTATTTTAATTTTTATGTTATTGTAAGTAGTATTGGTTTTTTAATTTCTTTTTTGCATAGCTCGTTGTTACTATACAGATATGCTACTGATTTTTACCTCTTGATTTAGTATCCTGTCATTTATTAGTTCTGACAGTTTTTTTTCATGAAAGCTGTAGAATTTTCATGAAGCCTTCACCTGCCTCTCCAATTTTAGGGGCAGCAGTTTGTCAGTTCTCTGACAGACCTAAGAATTTGGACTTACAGCCTATCTTTGTTCGTGTTTTGAGGGTAGAAGTGACCATTTGCAAACTAGAAATCAAAAATCTTCTTTGAGCTTTTTTCCTACCACAAATGGTGCATCTACACATACTCAGGTACATGACTCTTGGCTCATACACATGGTCATGTCTGTTACCGTAGGAGTAAAATACCTGAGTCCTGGAATATGTTAATATTCCAGTTCGGCACATAGCACCCAATACTACAGCCAGCCTCTCACAGTGAGGGTTACTATTGCTTCTCATCAAACAAGGCACTGGGGTTTCCACACCTAGCGCTGTCAACCCTGTCTGTATTAGCTATTCTGGAGGATGCAGGGAGGGGGTCTCCTTGTGATTTTAATTTTCATTTACAAGATTACTAAGAAAGCCAAACACCATCTGGATATCTTCTTCATAAATCACCTGGCTAGATCGTCTACCTATTTTCCCCTTAGACTATGTTTTCCTTTTTTTTTTTTTTGTCTTTTTGAGACAGGGTCTCGCTGTGCAGTTCAGGCCGACCTTGGGCTCACTTTGTAGCCCAGGCTAGTCTCAAACTCACAATGATCCTTTTGCCTCAGCCTCCCGAGTGCTGGGATTACAGGCATGAGCCACCACTCCCGGCTTTTTACTATTTGTTTATAGGAGTTATTTACATATTATAGATCTGAGGCCTTTGTTCATTACACATATTCTATACATTTACTCCCAATGCACGGCTCTCCTCTTTTGATAAACCGAAGTTCTTAATTTTAATGAACATTTATCCATGTCTCCCTTTATAACTACTGTATTCA